TTTATGTTTGTATAAAGCGAAAGAGAGAGCGATTTTTTATATACACTTATTTTTGTCAACGATTTATACAAACGAGAGGCTAACAACAATTTATACAAATGGCCTGCCAGCGAAATTATACAAATCTGAAGAGGAGCCAACGAATTATACAATTGCTTCTTTTTGTATATATGTATAGCCAAAAAGACATAGCTTTCAATTGTATATGTATAGCGAATTATACATATATATGTTTGCTATGGAGCGCAATTATGCAAACTTTGCTATAACATACAAATATGAATTTTGTGTTTGCTATATGTGAAAATTGCTCTTTTTTTTATCTCCTCAATCTGAGCTACATTCATAAAAAATATTTTTCAAGTTTAGTTTGTTAATTTCACAACTACGAAAAGTGCGGCTATGTCACCTAAGCTTTATTCTAGTGATAAAAAATATTGTAATTTCAGCTGCTTATACTCATTATCTTCCAACTCAAGGCATCAATTGCCATATTATAACTTAACTTGCTCGGGAGAGCCATAATAGTTATGCATAATCTTGGAGCAACTTCAACCATCTCTGTTACCTCAAATTGAGATCTCTCTTATTGAATATATATTAAAGGTTATTATGATTTAAGATAGTGTTTTCAAATCTTAAATTCAAACGTTATCAATGATAACTCTAAATCATGAGCAGGATAGTTCTCCTTATTCACTATCAATTATCTTGAGCCATAGCTATAACTTTGCCCTTTTGCATCAAACACTACCAAAAGTCAATACGTAAAGCATCATAATAAACAGTAAAACTCTCTCCCTCCATGAGCAATGTCAATACAAGAATTGTGATAAATAAAATCTTAAATTTTTAGAAGTTCGCCTCATACACACTCGGCCACTTGTAAAGCACACCTGTTTGAGTCAATGGAGGCCAGTAGATGGAAATCTTTCCACCAAGTGCGTGTGGTATTCTGTCAAACCTATGAAACTATGAGTTTCTGTAGGTGAAGTGAGATTAGCCCAATTTCGAATTGCCTTAATTTTCTTGATAAAGCAGCTTATGTCATGGGTGAAGATAATGTTAAAAAAAATTAAACAACACCCAAACACATTGTTTATCAAATTCATAAAAAATGTTATGGTCAGTCCAAAAGACATAACCAAGAACTCATAATGGTTATAATGATCCTTGAATACTTTATAGGGATATCTTTCGCCCTAATCTTTAACTATTGGTATTCAATTCTCAAGTCATTCTTCAAAATATTGATGCATCTTGAAGCTGGTAGAATACATTATCAATGCGAAGTATAATATACTTTTTCTTGATTGCCACCTTATTCAAATGCATGTAGTCGATACACATCCTTAAATAATCATCTTTTCTTTTCATAAAAAGTACAATCACACACATATATATATATATATATATATATATATATATATATACATAATAGTAAGTAGATCCTGGATTAAAATAATACCGTACCTGGTGTATGAAAAAAATGAAATAATATCTATAATAACTGCATTGAAAGCCTGTCTCTGGCCTGCTAGAAAAAAGTATAGCAAGCAGCCTAACCACCTTAACTTGAGTATCTCCTCGACCATCACTCTCAACCAGACTGGATATCCTCTCTATCATAATGAGAACTATTTTTGTCGCTCACCACCCCTAGCCTATTGCACTGCAATTCTAGGTGTGAATGTCTGAGAATTCTAGTGCAACCCACCATACTTGAGCCTGCGGCAATTCCTTCGATAATGCCTAGATCACTCGTAAGAAAAAACTCTGTTCAATCGAAGGAATTGAGTTTTAAATTCAAAGAATTACTATGCTTTATAAATTATTATTATGTTAGGTAATAATTTTAAAATATTAATAAAATGTATAATTAGTTAGCTTAAATCTATTTAATTTTTACCTATTTACAAATGAAGAGTAAAATAATCACATTTTGGAGCATTCAAAAACAATTTTGACCCTTTTCCCTTTAATTTGTTTTGTACTAGTCAAAACTTTTACAAATATTTTTCTGTAAGCATACGAGTGACCAGCAGCACATAATCAAGTACTCCTACAGTCCTAGTAGTTCATCAAATTTCAGTTCCTGACCAGCCTGATCAAATACTCGCCCCTTGATCGGAGATCGGTCCGTTTTGTCGGAAGTTAGAGGATGTTCAAGTTCTTGAAAGGCGTCGTCGGTGGATCTGGGACGGGACTCAAGGATCTGCCTTACAACATCGGCGAACCTTATTCCACTGCTTGGGGATCTTGGGTTCACTACCGTGGCACTTCCAAGGTTAGTTGTCACCGGTTTTCTATACTCAATTATGCGTTAGTTTACTCTTGGATGCTTTCCCTGGTGTAGTCTTATCTCCTTTTCATTTCTCTCAGCTGAACATTCATTGATAGGTTTATGTTTTAACTATGGAATTTATCACATTTGCTTTTGAATATGCTTAATAAGAACAGTTCTCTTTTCTATGCTGGCTCGTGTGATGATGACTACGAATGTAATGTAATTTTGAATTATGCGAAGTTGGTGATTTTTGGGAAAATGCATATGTAGCCCCAACCTATGTCCGAAATCCCAGAGGCACACTTTTACTATACTAAGGTCCTATTACCCCAAACTTATTTTATAAATAATTTTTTACCCCTTTTCGGCCTACGTGGCACTATCAATCAGATAACTTGAAAAAATTGTCAACACGCGCTTGGCCCAGAAGATAGTGCCACGTACGCCGAGAAGGGGTAGAAAATTATTTATAAAATAAGTTCGGGGGTAATAGGACCTTAGTACAGTATAAGTGTCTCTGGGATTTCGGACATATGTTGGGGATACTTATGCATTTTCCCGTGATTTTTAGATGGAACTTCTTTTTTAATGACTGCGGTATCTAGCCTAGTGTGCGTGAACCTGGACTATTCCACCGGGTATCGGGAACTTGGGAGTTAAGAGTGTACTTTTTCTCTATTTTCTGTTAGTTCACTACTTCTTAGGTGTCAACAGGTAAGCTCCTGGAGTGATTCATAGTAGAAATGCTCTATCCCACTATACTCGGAGCATAGCTGTTAGTTATTGTAGTATCTTCTGATTCGTGCAAGATTTATGTTCATGGTGTCACAACTAGTTGGGTAGATCTTATCTGATTTAACTTGTACAGAAAACCATTTTATACTTGTGGAACTGAGAGTACACATGATCAAATTGCAAAGCACTTAAATAGTATCTTCAAGCCCCTTATGTGGTCTTTGAAAATGGTCTTTTAGTTTTTAACTTATCAAAAGGAAAAAACCCAGCTGATTAGTTTGGGTGCACCTTAATAACTCAATAGGGGGAGGCCGAAATTGAGTTGTACCAAATTGTCATTACCACTTAAATTTGTCTAACCCCACTAGGGAACCTGGTTGTTATGTATGTTCAGTTTGACAATAGAAATACTAAATTTGCAAAAATAATAAGAACACAGATTTTTACATGGGAAAATTACCCGGCTCAAAGGGTGCAAAAATTACCCAGTAGGATTTACCTCCAAACTTCACTAACACAATGAGCCTAAGTTTTAATTACAAAATCCTTGCAACCTAAGACTTAAATCTAAGCCTTGATGCCAACAGTCACTCAACGCCAATCCCCTCAAATCACACTGACTTGGAGCAACAACGACACGACAATAGTTCATCACTACAGGAACCTACCTAACAATTGCTCTTTTCAATAAGAACTTATAAATATTTTACAACTGTTTTTTTCACTAGAACATCAGCAACCTAATAGTACTTCTCAAAAGCAACTTGTTACAACTCAATAAGCATAATACAATTGAGCTTGGACTGGAGTCGACGTGTAGACACTAAAAAGGGAATAGTTCTTCACACTCTCAGATGGTAGTCGTCAGATCTTCCAAGAACTGCATGTTACTTGTAAACTCATG